AGCACTCGGGAGGCTGAGGCAGGTGGGTCTTTGTGAGTTGGAGACCAGCCTGGGCTACAAAGTGAGCTCAAGGCCAGCCTGGACTACATAGCGAGACTTCCTTTTAAATTTTGTTTGTTTGTTTGTTTGTTTTTGTTTTTGTTTTTTGATTTTTTCTGGTACCGGGAATCGAACTCACAACCTTGCGCTTGCCAGGCAGGCGCTGTGCCACTGAGCTAAATCCCCAGCCCCGAGACTTTTTTTTTTTTTTTTTTTTTTTTTTTAAAAAAAAAGCAGGCTAAGGATGCAGCTTGGCACCCCCACCTCATCCCCACAAAAAACAGAGGACACTACATGAAATGGCTAAGGTGGAAAGATCCTGCCCAGCTCTAGCCAAGCACCGCCTTCCCCTGGGTACTGCACACCCGCCCTGGCAGCTGCCATAGTAGTGCCACTAGGAGCCCGGTAGGGTAGAGGCCAGGTGTGCCAGCCCTGCCAGCCTCCACTTTGTGGGCCCTTCTTCCTCACCAGCACCCCACCCTGCAGGTTAGGGAGACAAGCAGGGCAGAATGACTCCTGCCATGCCCTGGGCCACCCGGTGCCCTCTGGGTGCCGCCCGTGCGGTGCTTTCCCTTGAATGCACACTTCTCCCAGGCACCCACAGTGCCTGCCACCATTTTAAGTGCAGAAGTCCTCGAGCCGGCCCCAGTTTCTCTGCCCGCACTGTGGACTCCACCACGCTTCTCTGGGGCGGGGTAGTGTCCCCCGGTCTCCCCAAGCTGGGCGCCCCAGGGTCATCTTGTACAGCAGGGTGACTGCTGGCTGGGAACTTCAGGCTCAGATGCGGAGGGCTAGATGTGGGCAGGCGCGTTGGGGAGACAGTTAAGCAGTCGGGTGGGCCGGTGAGGAGTGAATCCTGTGGGGTGCTGCTTGGGCGGGCACGTCAGCCTGTGTGAGGCTGGGGTTGAGACCCCCAGCCAGGATGGAGACCGGGCCCTGGGTGCCATGGGAGCAGCAGAAGCCTGGGGCGGCAGCAGAGCACTGTCCTTTACCCTCTCCGTTGAGGGCTCAGTGGGGTCTGCCACTGCCACAGACTTGTCACACGTCACCAGTACAGGAAAAAGCTGGAAGATCAGGGCTGGGCATGTAGCTCAGCAGCACAAATGCCTGCCTGGCAAGTGCAAGGTCCTGAGTTCGATTCCCAACACCCACAAAAAAAAAACTGGAAGATCAGTGGGGCCTTCGTGGGTCAGACCGTCTGTGTTGTCCATGCCGAGGGCGCCATGGTGATAGTATCTCCAGGGGGTGGTGTGCTGGAGAGAAGCGGCCAGATCTGAGAAACATTCGTGCAGGCAGCCAGCCCGGCCCGGCCCAAAGCGAAGGGGGAAGTCCATGTGTTCATGTGGCCCTGCTTTGACAGCAGCACTTAGTCACACACAGGGCTTTACAGCTACGCTGAGGAGCCAGGCTCTTTCCAGGGCACTGGGGAGCCACGGCAGGCTGCGGGGATAAAGTCAGGCTTGTGTTTTAAGGGGACCCCTCTGCCATATTGGAGGTCCCTGAAGAGGGCAGGTGAGAAGCCGGGGGTGCCACTCCTTGGGAAGGGTCTCCTGGCCCTCAGTCCAGATGCTTCCCGCAGCAGGTGTCAGGGTTCTAAGCTGAGATCCCCGTCTCAAGTGCAGGTGGCTTTCAGTCCCCCTTAGCTGGCCTCGGTGTCCCGGCAGAGCTGTACAGCTCAGGGCTCTGCGAGGAGGCCTGAGGCAGGGTCTGCACCTGGGGGGCTGGGGGCTCCACCGGCTGGCCGGGCCTGCGTGGGCACTGTCCCCTCTGGCCCCTTTACGGGGATCCCTGCCAGCAGTGCCCCATTCCCCCCACCTGCACTTGTGCTGCCACAGGGCCCCTCTGGGAGCCGCCTTGTCCTCCCGGGTGGACGGGCGTCCCACCTGAGGGCTCCCCAGTCTCTTTTTCCACCTCTTTCTTTTTCCTCTTGCGCAGTGCCCGGGGTGGCACCAGGCTTGCACATGCTCGCTGCCTGCTCCCGAGCCCCCCACAGCCCGGCTCTGGTCTCCCCCAGCTCCCTGGCTGCCCCGTGTCATTCCTCTCTTGTCTCTGTCACTGGCTCTTTCCCCACTTGGCTCCTGTGACCTGGGGAACTGGTCGTGTGATGTGTCCTCTGCGAGGCCCAGACGCAATGTCAAACCAGAGTCAGACCTTCGCCCAGGGGTGGCACTGCCCCGGCTGCTGAGGGACAGAGGGCCCGAGGCTTGGACTTCAGAGTGACCGCCGCCAGTGTAGGGAAGCTGTCGTTCAGCCTTTGTCCCAACCCCAGGCAGTGACTGGGTTGTCAGAAGTGACACCAGTGGCACGAGGCGGCAGGATTCCCGGCAGGGGACAGGCAGGACTCGGGTCCCAGCTGTCACCCAGCCGCTGCTTCCCTCAGCTGCGGTCGCAGTGACTCAGCCCAGACCCTGTGGGTGGTGGTGAATGGGGGGTGGGGTCCCAGATGACTCGATCACCGCAGGGTGTGGGAGGCCGACCTCAGAGCCCCGGGACCCGCTCCCTGCGAGTGAGGAGCAAGGAGTGGACGGGGGCCTGGCGGCAGCCAGGTATAACCAACCACCCCTCCCTGCAGGAATCCTCGTGGCCCACTACCTCCAGAGCATCACGCCGTGTCTGGCCCTGGGTGGAGAGCTGGTCTACCACCGGCGGCCCGGGGAGGAGGGCACCGTCATGTCTCTAGCTGGGAAATACACACGTGAGCTGGGCCTGGACCCTGGGTCTGAGGGAGGGGCTGGAGGGCCAGCCCGCGGGCTCTCACATGGCCGTGTCCCCCTGCCCCTGCCCCTGCCCCATCCTGCTTTCTTTCAGTAAACAACTGGTTGGCAACAGTGACACTAGGCCAGGCGGGCATGCATGCGACATACTACCACAAAGCCAGTGAGCAGGTGAGCGGGCACGGTGACGCTGTGCCTTCCCCGCTGGGCGTCCTAGCGGGTGCTCACCCTCCGCCTTGCCCTTGCTCCTCCAGCTGCAGGTGGGCGTGGAGTTCGAGGCCAGCACAAGGATGCAGGACACCAGCGTCTCCTTCGGGTACCAGCTGGACCTGCCCAAGGCCAACCTCCTCTTCAAAGGTAAAGGCCTCAGTGTTTCTACCTAAGAAACAGATAAAAGTGAGTCAGCAGTTAGTGGGCATGGAGGCCAAAGGAAGTGAGGGAAGACAGCGGTGTGCAGGGCCCTCTGCAGGCCCCCCGCCACCGCAGCCAGCCTTCCCTGCCACCCACGGACTCCACGGGGCCCTGGGGAGGGTCCCAGTGCCTGGTCCTCAGCGAATTTCAGTCTTGCAACCCCCGATCCTGAGCACTGCCCTGTGCCCAGCCTTGTGCCCGCAGAGGACAAGGGGGAGGTAATGATGGCGTGAGCAGGACTGGGGTGGGGGTCCCTGCAGGTCCATGGCCACCGAGCAGAGAGCTGGAGCGCAAGCCAGCTGCTCCCCGGGTCGGTGAGGCTGATGTGCGCAGTCTCCGCCTAGGGCGCACCCGCTCCCCCGCCGGGGCAGCCGGGACATCTCATCGTCTCATCTGTGCCCGCCCGCCCGCAGGCTCCGTGGACAGCAACTGGATCGTGGGAGCCACGCTGGAGAAGAAGCTGCCACCGCTGCCCCTGACGCTGGCGCTCGGGGCCTTCCTGAACCACCGCAAGAACAAGTTCCAGTGCGGCTTCGGCCTCACCATCGGCTGAGCCTGCGTCCTGAGATCGCGCCTCCGCCCCTCCCCGCGGAGGGCGCCCCAGCCCCTCCTTTTCCTCCCTCCTGGGGATCGGGGGGCAGCGGAAAGGAGGGGGCCACCACCCCGCAGCCAAGGAGGGTTCCTGGGACCGAGGGTTCTGAGCGCAAGGGGCAGCGAGCCCAGTGGGCCTGGGGTGCCCGAGGGGATTCGGAGTCCAGGGGCGTGGATCCCGAGCGCCTGGGACGAGGCGGCCGCACAACCTCAGGGAGGAGTGGCGTGTGTCCCCGCGGAGCCGCCCAGGGGGCAGCAAGAGGAGCGCCCTGCCGTCAGCCCGTCCCGCCCGCTCTCCCTGCTACCCCTCGGTATAAATCATGTTTATAAGTTATGGATGAACCGAGACATTTTACAGAAAAAAAAGAAAAAGAAAAATACAAAAAATATACGTGGGGAAAAAAAAGTGGAGCAGGGGCACCTGCTTTTCTCCAGCGTCCTCGCGGGTTTCGCCCGGAGCTTCCCGCGGCCCCCGGCAGGGGGCGCAGGCGTCGCGGGGCCCGGTGCTCTGGTGCGGGCGGGGTGGGGGGGCCTCCTGGCTTACGCCCTTCCTGGGAACATCACACGCCTTCCGTCGCCCGCAGAGCGGGGTCCTGAGGTCACTCACCCCTTGGTGACCTGGCCAGAGTGGCCGCAGAGGACTTTACCCCGGCAAGCTGAAGTAACAATTCGGAGCACAGCCTGGGGTAGAGCTCGGACTCCGTCTTTTCAGATCGCGGAAAAGGCGGGGGATACAGGGTTTGGGGCATTGGCGGAGGTTCCAGGAGCTTCACAAAGGATTCTAGCTATGCGCAGTGCTTCAGGACGATTCGGGAATGAGTGGTGGTGGGCTGAGGTCCCCTCCTCAGGTCGACAGGGGAGTCAGGATTTTGCCAAGTGGGGCCGGATAAGCACCCCTGGCGCCCTCCAGACAAGAACTGAACCCTGCCTGCCTTGAGGGTTGGGGGGGAGGGTGAGTAGAGATGACCCCTAGTAACCCTGAGACGTCACCCACCTGCGCTCGCTCTTTCCGCCAGAGCACTCAAGTTCAAACAGACCCCTGCGGAGCTGGGCACCGGGTGGGGTGGCGGTGGTCGCCGGCCCTGCAGGTCCTAGTGTGCCCGCTTTTTTTCCTTTCTCCTTTATTCTTTTTCTTCTTGAGACCTAGGCTGATCCTCCTGCTTCGGCCTCCCAGAGAGGGCTAGGATTACCAATTTGTGGCAGTGCGCCCACTGCTTTTCACTTTTAGGGGTTGAAAAAAAAAAGGCTGCCCAGAGAGGCTGAATCATCTGCCCAAGGTCACACCGCCCGCTACTGGCAGAGCCGGGTTTCAAGCCCGAGCAGTCGGGTTGAGTCCTCGCCGGGCATTGCTGCTCCAAGCCCTGAGGAACACGCCGTGTGGGCTCCTGGATGTGATCTGTCTACCCTGCCCGCGCCAGCGGGGTGCTGAGTTCCCATTTCACAAGTGGGGAAAGGGGGTCCCCGAGATGCTCGCCTGCACGGAAGAGGGAGCTTAGCTGAGGCCCACGTTTCACTCGCAAAGCCTTCTCCCCCTCTCCCCCATTTCTGCCCGCGACCCCAGCTCCTCCCCAGCCATACTCATCCGCCCGCCCGCAGGGAGAGACAGGACACCCCCAGCACCCCAGCGTGGAGGACACCTAGGATACTGAGTGAGGGGGTCACCTCCCTTCTCGGGAGGGATACCTCCAGCCCCAACCTCCTCCCCCTCCTCCGCCGTGTCGGGGGAGGACAGCTGCCTCGTGACAGGGGGCTGGCCCAGCCCGCCCAGGCCCAGGGAGGGGCGGGGCAGGGGAGCCCTATAATTGGAGGAGTCCCGGGATCCCGCAGCCCTGCTCAGACCCCGCGGAGTCCCCGGAAACCCTTCTGCAGCGGCCGGTGAGATTAGCCGGGTGAGGGAAGCCGTCGGGGCGCAGGGACGAGCGAAGAGGCCTTGGTGAGACGTGGCTGGGGACCGCAGCATACCCTGGGCTCCGGGAAGAGGGGGAGGTAGGGAGGGGAAGGAGGGGAGCTCAGGAGAGCCCCTTGGGACAAGCTAGGGGACAGGAAGTGACTGGCCTGTGCCTGGGTCAGGACAGAGGGGAGCTGGGGACTGGACCCAGGGAAGGGCTCAGGGCATGGGCGTTCTGTCCCATCCTGTCCAGTCCCGGGCTAGAAGGCAGGGTGGGGCGCACTTGGCCCTGGAGCAAGAACCTGGACCTGAGCCACAGCCAGAGCCCACGAGTTGTCGTTTATTGAGCACCTACTGGATGCTCCGTCGTCCTGAGTCCTCCCTCACTGGTGGCGCAGGGGTAGCCCGACCAATCTGAGAGGGGACTTTTACACGAGGTTTAAATCAGCCCATAAATGGAGACGCCGGCTTGGAGCTTCGAACCTGCGGGCTGACGACTGCGGAGCTGGACCGGGCAAAGCCCAGCCCGGCTTCAGATGGAGCGGGGGCGGAGGTAGTGGAGTGGAATTTGAACCCTGAAAGAGGGAGATGGAATTTTGGCAATGGAGCCCGACCTGGGGGATGGAGAGATAGCAGAAGACAAAGGGAGAGTTAAGCAGACCCGTGGGGGGGGATCGGTGTTTTGTGATTGGATTAGGCTGCAGGGGGGTGTAGGGAGGATCGGCTGAGTGTTTGTGATTGGATTAGGCTAGGAAGGCCAGGTGAGCGTGATTAGGTTAGGATGGGCCAGGGGCCAGGGGCCAGGCGCTGGAAGCCGTTGGCTGGGGTGGGCGGAGTCCTCACTGTTGGCTGATTGACAGTTCTTCCTTCCCCAGGCTGACCAATCGCAGGTGGGAAGATGAAGGTCCTGTGGGCCGTGCTGGTGGTCACGCTTCTTGCAGGTATGGGGCGGGGCCTGTTCATGGTTCCTGCGCCTCACTCCCTCCACTCCCTGGCCCCCTTCAAGCCCAGGGTATCCCTTGCTGTTGGCCCATGTCCCCCATGAGAGGGAAGCTCAAGTCTGAGGCTCCCTGACATTCATCAGCTCTGAGCAGCTGTTATACTCTCTTGGCCTCAGTTTCCCCACCCATATTATTGCTATTATCCATGTTATTACCACTTCGTAAACCTTTGTTGTCCAGTAGGTAGTGAGTACTAGCCAAATGTCACCTGTGATGGGCTTTTATTCTGTCACCCCAGCACAGTCCTACATGGGGCACTAAAAGACAGTATGTGCTTGCTGGGCATGGTAGTGCACACCTGTAATCTCAGAACTTGGGAGGCTGAGGCAGGAGGATCTACAAGTTTGAGGCCAGCTGCCTGGGCTGCATGATGAGTCCAAGACCAGTCTGGACTACACAGCAAGACCCTGTCTCCAGTCTTAAAAAAAAAGCTAAGAAAAATATATGCTTGACATGTGATAAATAAACTTCACCCCTCCCTTCCCACCAGGGTCTGCAGGAGGGGGGGCCGTTTCAGGAGCACCTAGTCTGGGCGGACTTCTGTGTGCAGGATGGGGCACAGAAGCCCTGACCCAGCCTTGCTTGAACTTGCCCCCCACAGGATGCCGGGCAGATGTGGAGCCGGAGCTGGAGGCGCAGGAACCAGCGGTGTGGCAGAGCGGGCAGCCCTGGGAGCTGGCACTGGGCCGCTTCTGGGATTACCTGCGCTGGGTGCAGACCCTGTCTGACCAGGTGCAGGAAGAGCTGCTCAGCTCCCAGGTCACCCAGGAACTGACGTGAGTGCCCCGAGCTGGCCCGGACCCTGGCACTGGGCGGTGCCCCAGGCCTTGCCATGCTCTGCTTTCTTTCTTCCTTGTTACCATCTCTTGGGGAAGGGATCCGGATCTCAGTCCCTTTCTTGTTCCCTCCATTCCTTTCTTTTTCTGGTACTGAGGATTGAACCCTGGGCCTCTGCACTGAGCTCCATCCTCAGTGGGATGGAGCTCAACCCTTCTCGGAGGTATTAGAGATTGAACCCGGGGTGACACATGATAGGCAGACACTACACTGAACCACATCCGAGCTCACAAGTCCTTTATTAATTTTGTGATGTCTAAATTACCCGGGCCCGACCGGAACGTGCACTCTGAAATTCTCCTGCCTCAGCCTCCCGGAATGCTGGGATCACAGACATAATCCACCACATTGAGCTTCTATCTGGTAGCTTTTCCTCTCTGGTTCTCTGCTTCTGCGCCTCTCTCCTCTCTGGGCTTCTCTCTCGTCCCTTCTTGACCTCCTTTGAGTTCCGTTGACCCAGGCCTCACTGCACTGTGTCCTCCCTCTGGGCCGCAGGGTGCTGATGGAGGACACCATGAAGGAGGTGAAGGCCTACAAGTCCGAGCTGGAGCAGGAACTGGCACCGATGGCGGAGGACACGAAGGCCCGGCTGGCGAAGGAGCTGCAGGCGGCACAGGCGCGGCTCGGGGCCGACATGGAGGAGGTGCGCAATCGCCTGGCGCAGTACCGCGGCGAGGTGCAGTCCATGCTGGGCCAGAGCGCCGAGGAGCTGCGCGCACGCCTGGCCTCGCACCTGCGCAAGCTGCGCAAGCGGCTGCTGCGCGACGCCGAGGACCTGCAGAAGCGCCTGGCTGTGTACAAGGCCGGAGCCAGCGAGGGGGCCGAGCGCGGCGTGAGCGCCATCCGCGAGCGCCTGGC